AAAAAAGCAAAACACCCATATTTTAGAGGGTATCAGTTGGAAGGTTCATTACTGGATTTCAAGACTTACTGTAAAGCTATACTTACCAAGGCATTGTATTAGCAAATGACAAACACTGATCATCAGAAGTGAACAGAATCCAGAAACAGACCCATACGTGTACAGAGGTGCCAAGGCAATTCAAGGGAGAAGGTACATTGCTTTCAACAAATAGTACTGTCAGATGGGTGTGCAAGGGAAAAGCGCACCAACAGGGCAGGTGCACGTTCATCCACTTCCATTAYGCAGAGCTCACACACTAATCACTAAGATCCTCACACCACGAAATTCTAGGGTACAGACTGGGCCAATTAGAGCATATTTTGTCCTTTTCYAATCAGGAACTTTTATGCTAAAATAATGTTTAAAGCTGCTATTGACACAGCAGAGGGAATAAAGTCTTTGTACTATTAAAAATACATCTAAAATATAAATAAAATGAACAAATTTTCTAATAAAATGTAATCAGGAAAACTGCATTAATAAAAGTACCCATGTAGTATAGTTTTATGATAATAAATTGTTTAACAGACTAATAAGTCATCTCAATAAAATCTTCACACAGAAAGTCCTCACAAAGTCCAAATTTATAGGGGAATTTCCCAAAATCTTCATATGACAATACTTTCTCACTATTCTAAATTAGAAAAGGAGTAGCAGGAAACTGCCACTTTTATGAGACTATAATGATGATAAYGTAACTAGACAGGGAAACAAGAGAGTATAATCTAATTTGTGAATATAGAAATAAAAGTCCTCGAAAAAGCTTTAAAAAAGACTAAGAAAATGTGTAAGACTCAATTTAGCACATTTATTAGCAACGTGGGTCTATATAGCAATTCAGGATACTATCAGAAAATCCATTATAATTTTTATAATATTTATAAAGGATATACTATAACATTTGTCCAACAGTCATACAGAAAATATTCCAATATAATTTAATTCCCATTCATGATTAACATGAAATCTTAGCAAACTGGTTAGTGGAGGAAGCCCACATATCCCAGCAAAGATGTATCTATCAAGGGCTAAGCGCAAACGTTGGAGTTCATGGTAAAACTATATTTCCCATCAAGATTGACTTGACCTATTTCCATTTCCTCTTTTCCATTTAATGCATGGACCCTTCTAAACCTCATAAATCAGTTACATTATAAAGTGAGGGAATGGACTGGAGATGTGGCTCAAGCGGTAGCACGCTCGCCTGGCATGCGTGCGGCTGGGGTTCGATCCTCAGCACCACATACCAACAAAGATGTTGTGTCTGCCGAAAACTAAAAAATAAATATTAAAAAATTCTTTCTCTCTCTCTCTCTCTCTCTCTCTCTCTTTAAAAAAAATAAATAAAGTGAGGGAATGAATAAAGTGCTCACTTGAGATGTATTCATTTTCTGAGGCTCCTGGGACAGCATAGGAATGGTAAAGGCTCAGCTGGAGGAGAAATAAAGAGAATGGGGTCATAAGACTGCCTGCTTCACAGCTACCAGGTTCTCTTCCCCAACTCTCACCAACCCMATTGGAGGGCAGCTCTAAAAGAGCATCTACGCCTTGGAATGCATGCAGAGGATCATTACAGGCAGCACACCTGTCCCAGTGCAACTCTGAAATGATCATGGGCTCACACCTCCTGTTTCTTCTAAATGAACATTAAGTCTTCTAGATTGATTTAACAATAAAGCACATGTCCTTCTAGCTAAAATAAAGAAATAAAAACAAAGGATACCTTGATTTAAAGCATTTCAAAGGATCAAACACTATGCTTTCATTAAAATTAGCTTAGCAGAAAAATACTCCATTTGCATCATTTATCATTTTTTCTTAGTAATACTGCTTATCCTCTGATAGAGATAATTCACAGAAAGCCTGGTAAAAGAATAAGATACTCTAAGGCAAGGATTTTTGTTTGTTTTAACTGGATGTATTTCTCTAAAAGCCCTTTTGATGAGATGCTTTTGGTGACTTACCTGTGAGTGAACTGTACTATTTTTTCCTCCTGTCACCAACTAGGCATCCCTTGGAAAGTCCCTGAGACTTTCATATCCAATGTTTTAAAACTGTTCCAGAGTCAGAAATATAACTAACTCCCACATGTGTCATCATTCTGGGATTCTCTGAAGCCAGGATAAACTCATTAGAGTCACAYGTGGTGTCAGACATGTGACAGCAGCACAGCATCTGTAGAATGGAGAAGCAAGGGATTGAGCCTCTCCAGGACAGCAGAACAGAACTTCCACCTTCWACCTAATCATCCCTCACCTGCAGATCTCCCTGCACAAGCCCTGCCATGAAGTGGCCTTCCCCCGGCAACCTGTCCCTGGGCCTCCCTGCTTCACCCTGCTATGCTCAAAGCTGGCCCAAATTTTCTACTGTCACAGTCTGCGGTGGCTTCTGGAGTTGGCACTGTCAGCAAGTCAGGCTCAACCTGGGCAGGAGGAACAAGAACTGCTTCTGATCATGCAAATCTAGGATCTGCTTCTTCTTGGGATCTTGTCTCTTGCTCTGAAGCTCTGGAGAAAGAGCTTAAGTCAGAGAGGTTTCTCTTCCAGGTAAAACTATTGTTCACAGAGGGGCCCTTCTTCCTACTTCACAAGGGCTACTTTGTTGCAAGAAGCTGAAACCTGGACCTGAAAAACAAATTCACTTTAGGAGCAAAAACTTGACTCCTGGAATTAATTACGATATCAGAAGATATTAAAAGACACACAACTTGGTGTTCAGAAGGGGCCAGGAACCTGTCTGATCCAAGGGATCTGAAGAGATACCAGTAATTTCAGAATACATTTAACACATGGTAAAATTCTATATTCACTTCCCATCCTATCCCTGTGTATTTGGAGACAAATTAGTCTGCTCAGTGCTGTAAAGGCYACGATACCTGTAACAGGCAGCTGTGATATTAGCACCTGAAACCAGAAGCAAATCACACCTGCCCTTGAATCTGAGCTCCCTCAACCGCTATCTCATGACCTAAACTCAGGACTCCACCAACCTTACGTGGTTATTTAATGCAGATGGTCATGTTGATCTCAGAGTGGTGTGGGGTTTAGGTGAGTCATCCAATGAGAAGAACAATTGTCTCCTAAACAGAACAGCACTTGTCACTTATCGGGGCTTAGTAACTTGCACCTGGCTGCGCTACAGGTGCTGCCTTACAAGTTTCAAAACAGTCATGAGGTCATTACTAACATCCTCGTTCCCAGGTGAGAAAGCAGACTCACCCAGGCCACCTAACAGGTGACAGAGCGGGAACTGATGCCAGCCTTTCAGGCTCCAGAGCTCGGGGTCTCGCCCCAGACGCACAGCACGCGCGTTCTGGCACCGTCGTGTCAACGTGCGCGAGGGCTGCCCCCGCGGCCGCCGGCTGCACCGACTGACGGGCCCGCGAGCACCCCGCGTGGCACACCTGCTCCGCGGGCTCAGTCCCACCTGCGTCCGGGGCCCCCACCGGCCTCGGCCCTCCAGGGCCCACCGGTAGTATCCAGGGACGCTGGGGGGCGCAGGAGGTCGCAGGACCTGCCGCTTCACTACCGACGGTCCCCTACGCTCACCGACGTGCGCAGCCTCCGCTCTCCGAGCTGCCGCCGGCGGAGCCCGAGCAGCCCAGCGAGGGGGCGGGGCCGATGCCGCGCGTGCGCAGAGCCCCCGAGCCGACCCAGACGCCGCGCATGCGCAGCGCCACCGAGCCCGCCCTAGGCGTAGCGCGGCTGGATGGACCGAGTGGAGACTACGCGTCCCGGGAGGCTCTGCGTCTGCGGCTGCCCCGCCGGGCGCTCCCGCGGGTGGCAGGCCTGGCGGCTGCTGCTCCCAAACCCCAGCTGGGGGTSTCTAGGAGCCTGAGGAGGTGGGGGGCTCAACTTAAGCGCTACTCCCAGAAGCAGAAGGACCCCTTAGATGGATCCCCATCGAAATGACAGCATTTCCCCTTGGAAATGGTTTTGGGGGCGATCAGGGAAACTGCGCCGCGTGCTGAGAATATTAAGGAAAACTGACGCGTGAAGAAGATGGAGTTGCGTTGGACAGTGTGTTGGGGTTTTTGTTTTGTTTTTAAAGAAAGGCTTGACGACTGCAGCTGCAGCAGCCAGCACCCCCAATGCGGCCGCCCAGCACGGTGGTCCCGGGGGAGAC